TTTTTTTTTTTTTAAGTCATTATTCCAAAATGTAAGTGCTACACTACACATCAATTTTGTAACCTCTGCTCTAAGCCTTCGCATCGGCGTCTGAGGCACTGACGTAACCGTAACCATATCACTTTTTAAATACTGTCATCTAATCTGGCTGTTAAAGGGTATTTTTCAGGGAAGTGTTTATCCAGAAGCAAATGACATAAACACCACCAGTAAAATGTCAAGAGTGCAACCCCAGACTTCTGAAGTGGCAGGAGACTTGCAGAGCCGCTGACTAGCAGACATCCGCATTTTTGATGCGTTTTGGTCTCGTACGTGAATGACAACCAAAATCTGCATTTCTCCCATGTTTACAGGGTGACCCAAATACTTGCCAGCCCTAAAGAACGGGCACTTAGCAGTAGGGCAGTCCTCCGCTAATCGAGCGGTTTGCTTGCATCCGCATGGCTCAACGGATGAAGCAGGGTTTGTGGGCCGGGGGCTGCCCCGCTTGCTGAGCAGACGGAGGAGGATGACCAACACGAGGGGTAGCGTCAGGCTTCTTTCTCGGATATGTACACCGTGCTGTGGATAGTCGCTCAACGGCTGCTCTTAAATGCTGGTATTTTGCTGCTGTGAGGTAGTGAAGAATACATGGCTGCGTAACTAGATGCTGACAAGTTTGTGAACGGGCAGAGAATGCGGAGCGGAGCACATATTTATTTCTATGCCTTTCCACCCGGAGTTGTTCTAGTTCCAGCTTTAGACCAGTCTTACGAACTGTTCACTAATCGTTTGGTAGCTCGTACCAGTGTGTTGTGCTTGTGTAGTCCCAGCTGAGCGAGGCTCAGGTCCGCGTATCTCCATTCTGTCTGTGCTGATTCACGCCGTGGCCCCCGCCATCTCTTCGCAGGACGGCCTCCCGGGTCTGCCGCGGTTCGGGTGGCAGCAGGCACCCCGGAGGGCCTGTCGCACCCGCCGCCTCCTCCCCTCCCCGCCAGAGACCCACTTCTGTACGTTTGAAACGAGTGGTGAAGAATACCTGTTCCCTGGTAGCGATTCTGGAGCTTTCACCTAATACATAAACCACTGACTTGTGCGTCTACATCCCTCTAAACAGCTTTTATGGTTAGTCTGGATAACTGAACCGGTGTAATAAAGCGATGTTTGCTGGTGTGTTCTTTGGTACAACGTGTGCCTGCTCGTGGTTTGTCTTGCTGGTCGCCTCGCAGGTGGGACTGGGGGGCCGAGGGGGCTTGGTTTGAATTCCCCTCCGGCAGAAAGGCTGTCGAAGGCACCGGCGCTGTCCCTGACGGACGCTGGGCCGTACGGTAATGAGCTTGTCCCTGTTTTCAGAGAAGGGATGTCACAAGCCCTTGGGCCACTGTTGGAGTTCGGAAATGCTTCTTGCAGTGCATTTGCAAGGCGATCTTCCCAGTGTGAAGGGGACTCGGGCTACGCACGGCACGGTCAGTAATTCGTAGTCTCGGTGCTTCCCCTGCAGGCTGATGCCTGGTGCGGCCGGTGGGCTCTAATTGCAGTCTTGCCGGGTTTTAGGAATCCTTTTGCGATCATCTCTCGGAGGAGCACTGAAAAGCAACTTCATACGGAGAAGATGAAAGGACAACTGATAAGCCTCACTTAAATAGCATTTGGGGTGGCATGAAACGAGACCATGCCTGTGGAGATGAGAGGCAGCGGTCTCCCCCTTCCGCACGCGTCTGCGTCTTGCTGCGCGTTTCCATAGCTTGCCTTTGTCAGAAGACTGGAGCAAGAGGCCTTCCTCGTGAGGGTATGCCCTCGTATTTGTAGCGAGGTTTACCAAAGGTAAGTTGTTGGCTTTAAAAAGGAAAAACGCAGGGAACGGTTGGGTGGGCGAGAACGTGCTCCGCTAGCGCTGCCCTGGGTGACCTCTCGTGCAAGCGGTCAGGGGACTTGGCCCTGCTTGGGGGTGCGTGGTTCTGATGTCCCTCGAGCCCGCTTGTGCGGACTGTCGTATTTGGTAGGACAGGATTTTAGGTGGTGGTTCTGGGTTTGTAACGCTCTGATAACAGCCCGGGAGGAGACCGCCTGCCCGCGCCCTCGCTCCCGTCCCTGCTGGCCCGTGCTGCGGCTGTGCTCCGCGGCCCGTAGAGGCCGGTTGTTCCCCTCCGCTCGCTGCCCACGCAGCTTTAGGGACCACCGCGGCCGTGGGGCCGGAGGCGGCGGGGCTGCCCGGAATTCCCCACTGGTGCACGCCGGAGGTGCTGGCCCTGCGTGGGGCCGGGTCGGGCGAGGGCTCGGGGCAGCAGCTGCTTGGGAAGCCAGCCGGCAGCGACCTTCGCTTCGTTCTGCCGACCGGCGCTCGAGGCGCCCGCGGCACGGCTCGCGGTAAGGGCCAACCTGGGCAGCCAGGAACGGGCTCGGCGCAGGCGGCCTGTGCCCCGCGGTGTGTGACGTCTGGTTACCAGCAGCCTGGGGGCCCACCTCGCCACCCTCCTGCCCCGGGCGCTATCCAGCCGCCTGCCCTGCCGGGAGGCGGCAACCAGGGCTGCACGAGGGCTTCTTTGCTGCTTTTTTTTCCCCCCATGACTTTTTGGTCCTGTGCTGGCCTGTGTGATGCATCATCAGCTTCTGACACAAGTATTCTGCTCTCTTGGTTTTTGGTTTTTTTGGGTTTTTTTAAGCTGGCCTTGCTAAGCCGTGCCTAGCGAAGGAGTGGGCAGCAGCCCTTGCTCTCCCGCCGGTGAATGCCAGGCGCAGGAGCCGCAGCGATCCTGTCCCTGCGAGGCGGGAGCCGGGGGGGAGCCGGGAGGGCGCGCGGGGGCCGTCGGCTCCCGTTCCCTTCCCCAAAGGCGCCTTTTCCCCTCCTGACCTGAACAGGCGGGGGCTGCGCGACTGCTGGGCGTCGGGGCATTCCCTGCCCATCGGCCCCAACAGTTTGGCCTTTAGGTTTGAGCATCTTTTGGATTTTTATGTAGTTTTTTTTTTCCTAAAAGGATAAATGGTCTTTTAAAATTATTTTTAGTCTTAAAAGGTTGCAGAGGGTGGTGTTTCCTACAGGAATTCAGGCTTGGGCAGGGGAAAGTAATTCAGGTAAGTGACCTGGGGCTGAACGAGCAGGTGAAGCGCTGCCCGCTGTTAGGTGCGAGGGGAGACCCCCTCCGCAAGCCAACGTGTCGGAACGGCCAGCGGGGGAGAGACGCCGCGGCCACCTGGAAAATGCCAGATGCGGGGGCCGGCTGCTGCCGGGGGCTTCGGCAGGAGGATTTTCACCCAGAGCAAACGGCTGTCCCTGCGCAGGGGGCTGCCGACCGTGCCGCAGGAGCAGAGCCGGCGGAGGGACCTCTGCTACATCCCCGTGGCGGTCTGGAAACCAGCAAACCCAAGCCACCTTGCTGCCGGCTGAGCTGCTCGGGGTTGGGGGTTGGGGGGGTGTTTATCAGCCTGCGTCGCTGAATGCTGTTATTTAATTATCTTCACGGTTATCCAAGGCCTGACCCACGCACGCGGGTGACAACAAACTCGCGCC